CAATATAGAAACTAGCATAGGCTGGATCTGTGAAAATGATTTATCTATAAAATTTAATAAGCAATTGCGCCCTTTCCTGACTCATTCCATGCCAAATTAATGACAATTATTTTTCTCCTGCTCATTATTTTAATTAACTTTATCATTACTATTCTTATGGATAGTTTGTTAGTAATCAAAAATCTACTTAACTTTCCTTCTTCAAAACTTATTTAAACTAAAAACTAGGATATAATTTCTATTATTCACTCTATTAAATTTACTAAGAATATCTCTATTAATACTATAAAAGTCAAATCGTACTCAATCAACTCTCTTCATAATCAAGCTGATTAGCTAGCCAAACAAGGCTCTATCAAACCCCTTTTAACAATCTCCTATACATACTTCAACCTTTCTATATACTTCTCTTGGAACAATTATATTATCATATTTAAAGTATGCTATTTTATCAAAAACATTATTACAATTCAAGAACTTATATTCTAGTCATCTTTTAAACTTTTCAACAACTACACATCAAATATAAACAGGAATCTGATCTTTAAAATATTTAACTCTCTAGAATATAATTCTTATAAATACTTCTTTTATATTAAAATCCTAACAAATAATCTTTCAATAATACAAAATCTTAATATTTGCTACCCAAACCTATATACAACAAATAAGTATTGCAAATGCCCTCTAACTAAAGACCTTTTTCATATTCTTCTGTGCTCTAAAAATACAGAAAATATTTAATAATCACTTATAAATATAACTACTAATATACTTTAACAACTCCAAATCACATCCATTCAACTCAATATAATTTTGTATCAAAATCTTTGATATCAGCATCTAATTTTAAAACATCTTTTTTGTTTTTAATTTTTTTAGCAATTTTGTCAAATTCTTTTTTAGTATTTATCAGTTTAATTTTTTCATTAATCGATTTTAATAAGTTTGATATTTCTAATGCTATCATGTTTCGATCTTTTGCAACTTGAAAATATAATTCATTCAATTTATTTTTGGTATTTAACAGATTAATTTGATTTTTGATATAGTTATAATATTCTTTTTGTAATTCACCAAATTTATCATTACATAATTGATAAAGTCGTGTTTTATCTTGTTTTTTTAATTTTGAATTCTCTATTTTATCAAAAATTAATTCATTATTAAGTAATTTTATAGTGTCAGTTCTAGTGGTTGATTTAATTTCTTTTTCAATCGTATCAAAAATCAAATTATAATCTGGTTCAGGTTCTGGTTTATCTATTGGTTTATCTGGTTTATCATTTTCTGGTTCAGTTTCAGGTTCATCTGGTTTATCATTTTCTGGTTCATTCATTGGTTCATCTGGTTTATTAGTTTCTGGTTCAGTTTTAGGTTTATCTAGTTTATCAGGTTTTGGTTCATCCATTGGTTTATCTAGTTTTTTAGTTTCTGGTTCATCTATAGGTTTATCTGGTTTATCAGTTTCTGGTTCATTCATTGGTTCATCTGGTTTATCAGTTTCTGGTTCAGTTTCAGATTCATCTAGTTTATTAGTTTTTGGTTTATTATCTAGTTTGGATTCTAGTGGTTTATTTTGTATATTTTAAATAAGATTGATTATATTAATTAATTGTTGTAATCCATCATTGTTATTACTTGATTTTATTTTTGTATTTTGTATATTAGTTTGCAAATTAGTATTAAAATTAAAAAATTTATCATTGTAATTTGTTTTAACTCAACAATGTAGATTTTGATTCATGATATGTATAATATTTTTATTAAAAAAATAAAAAATACAAATAATATTTATATAAATTTAAATTAAATCTAAGTATCTTGATCCATTGGTTGATTTGAAGCTTGGAGAGCATTAAAAGCCACAATTACTCTTGCCAAATCTTGTTGTCCAATCAGTTTAATAATAGGTTTATATGCTAGTTAAATTTTTAAATCTTAAACCATTACTGAATATTCAACATTTCCATTTAACAAGTCTCTTCTTTGACCAAAATTAAAATAATTTGCATCATCAGGATGTTTTAAATTTATTGCCCAATCAGTGTAACTTGCTGTGATAATTAATACAAATTTTCCAATATTGAAAAAATTATGTTCACCTTCAACATTTCTGTTTAACAAGCAAACATCCATCTTGTTTTTAAATATAAAACATAAAGTGATATTATGAGTTGTAAATGGACAGTCACTACTATATAAGATGTATGCGTATGTTTCACTAATAACTTTAAAAGCATTTTTTGTAGTAAAATCTTTATCTTCTTTGGGTCTGTTGATGAAATCATCAAGAGTGTAATTTTGTTGTTTTGCTACATCTCAATCACAAACAACACCTAATAAAATTGATAGATACATATTTTCCATTAATGTATAATATGTGTTTCTAGCATTTGTACCATTTCTTGCTACAGCATTAAATGTAGCAGATCATAATGAAATTGGATTAAAATAAAACTGAAGACCTTTCTTGCTTATCTTTAAAGCTTATAAAACCCACTTATACTCTTTTATTAATAAAACTAACTCTAAACTCTAACTCTAACACTAACTCTAACCCTAAAAAATATTCCCCAAAAAATTTTAAATTTTTCTAAAAAAATAGAAAAATTTCATTTTAATCTGATTTCATTTTAATCTGCCATATTAAATATTGTAAAATTATTTTGATAAAGTTCAATATCTTTATTAGAACCATAAAATGTTACAAATATTACATTAATGGTTATGTTATATAAAGAAATTTGATCTATTTTAATTTTTTGATTTAATGAAAAGATATTAATTCTATTGGTTAATAGTAATAGATAATATCGATCATTGGTAGTCTGCCTTCTTGTAACATTCCATATTTCATATTGCATGAATTTAGCATGTTTAAAATCATATTTTTTCAAATCTTGTGATTCTCATTTGGGTCTACATTCTTCCAAATTACAGAAATAATTTGCATTTCTTTCTACTCTATTACAACATAATAATGAACAATTAGATGAACATTTCAATAACATCTTATTTAGATTCTTCTAAATTGTCTGATAAAATCAGGTGTGCTACAACTATTTGTACTTTTTTTAACTACTAGTTTACAATCTTTATACTTTTTAGAAATTGAGACTGATGTTTCTCTAATTGGATTTGCTTTTGTTTTTTTTGTGAATTTTGTTTTTTTTGTTTTTGATTTTTCTTTCACACAGGACAATGTAGATTTCTTTTTATATCCTGGAGGGTACTTTGATTTTTTTGGTGCCAGTTTGAACTATAATGTATCAAGATATGTGATTATTTCTGTAAATATTACATGTAAATTATATAAGAAATGCCTAAAAACTGGAGCAACAAAGTCATTTATCAATGTAAAATCAGGTTTGTATATATAGTAAAGTAAACAAGTGACTAAAACAAGAAAGATTAATACGCAGATATCAATTAATATATATGAAAAAAAAATAAATTTTTGATGCCATTCCATTTTAAAAAAAAAATAATTTTATTAAATCGAGAGATATTTATATGTTTATTGGATGATGAGACATGTTAAGTTATAATTAAAAAACCAACCATGAAATTCTAATAATAAAATAAAAAAAATATTTGAAAAAAAATAAGTGAAATAATTAATAAAATATCTATTCTGGTTAAATTTCTATCTGATTTTAGTCAAACGATATTGCTGGTATCAGACCTTTTTTTTAATTCATCGATAATATTTGTTTTTAAGTTATTTATTTTTTTAATAAGAGCAGCTTTAATATTTTCTCTGATATTTTTTCATCTAAAACTTCGATTAAAGAAGTTTTAATTGTTTCTTTTAAATTGTCAACTAAAGCTTGCAAGTTATCATAATTTTTTTTCATTGATCTCTTTTAGCTCTTGTGGTATCAAGCAAGGTTTTAATTCTAGTATATTCAGTTTGACAGTGAGCAAACATTTTTTTATTTTATATTTTATTATTTTTTTTATTTTTATTTTAATTGTAGCAATATTTATATTGTTTTTATTTAATATCTTCAAAATATAGATCAGGATTAATTTCTGTTTTAATATTAGTTTTAACAGTATCAATTGCTGTAATAATATCTTGTTTAACATCGTTGCCTATATCATAATTTTCAAGGACTTCTTCGATTGTTGTTTTTACCAAATTTTTTATATCCTTTAATCTAGTCAACAAGGTTTTATAATTTTTTTTCTATTGATCTCTTTCAGCTCTTGCTGTGATAATTAAACCTTAAACTCTGTTTAATTTTGCTTCTCTATCTGTATTCATTTTTTTTTATTTTTTTTTATTTTATTTTTATTTTTTTTTATCTCTCTATTTATATTTATAGTTATTTAATATCAGAAGTATTTAATAGTTCTTTAAGTTCATTCAATACATTTTTATCATGTTTCTCTAATTGAGTGATAAGTTCTTTTATTAATTTTTGTTGTTTTGTAAATTTTTTTAGCAATTTTTTATTATCAACATTATTTCTTTCTGTAGCCATTCTGGTGTTATACATATCCCAAGTATTTCTATATCTTTGATTTGCTTCTTTTTGTTTGTTCTGTGATTTTTCGTACAGTTTGGCAATTGTATTCTTTTGTTGTTTGGTGGTTTTATCTTTTTTTCCTTTGATAGATCTGTAAAATTCTTGATATTGATTTTTTCTTCTAATTTGATTTTTTCTGAGTTTTTTATTCAATCTTTTCTATTTTGTAAAAAATAGTTTAAATTTTTCTTTTGTTACTTTATTTTTTTGATTATTAAGCCAATTTCTCCATTTTATACATAGTGCAAGTTTTTCATCGTATAATTGAAGATGTAATTTACAAGTTGTTTTCAATAATGTGTATGATATTTTTTTTAGGTTAAAAAAAAAATAAGCAGCTTTTATTTATATTTATTTAAAAATATTAAAAATGATAATTATAGCCAGATTTAAAAACAATTCTAGCTAATTCTATAACATTATCTTGAATAAATTGTTTTTTTTCATATTCTAATTCATTAAAATTTGCAAATGCGATTGCATTCATTTCAATATATTGATGTTTATTATTTTCATTTTTTTCAGTAAAATACAATAAACAAATATTAGCATATTTATCATTAATTTTTAATTTAATGATAAGATTATCTAGAATATCTTTATTAATTTCATTTTTTAATTAATTCTTCGTAGGTTTCAATCTAGCTGTTAATAATAAATTTATAGTCTTCATCTTTCTTATAATAGATACTTTTTGAAATTCATATTTATGCTTATTAGGATTTGATACAATTAATTCTTTGATTTTTGCAACAATTTCAGTATTGTAATCAAATAGAATTGCAACTGTTTGAAAAATCTTTTTTTTTTGATTTATTTTTTTTTAGAATACTAACTATTTATATAATTTTTCAGATTTTCAGAACTTGATTTCCAGCTTTGTACTGCTAGTTTAAATCGATTTTTGCTATCAACTTTATCATCTTTTAATTTTTGAATCTCTTTTTTTATAAATAAATTGTACTGTGATATTTTTTTAACAATTTTTTGTGTTTTCTGTTTAACTTCTGAATCAGAAGTTTCTGAATCACTTGATTCAGTTTCATCTTTACTCCATTCATCAAACATGTAGCTTGAGGCTTTATCAATATTTAAAAAATATTTTGTAAAAAAATACGGATCTTCTTTATGAATTCTATTTATCATTTCTTTTTTTGTTTTGGCTTTTTTGATAATTTTTGTGATTTTTTCTTTGGATTTTATTTTCTTTTAATTTAATTGATAATCTGCCAGTCAACAGAAGAATAAACATAGTGTAACATGACGCAAATCACTATGTAAATCCAATATAGTGTGAATCTAAAA